GGGTGTGGTGGCTCACGCCTGTAATCCAAGCACTTTGGAGGCCAAGGCGGGAGGATCACCTGAGGTCGGGAGTTCAAGACCAGCCTGACCAACATTGTGAAACCCCGTCTTTTTTTTTTTTTAGATAAAAAAATAAACAGAGACAGGTCTTGCCATGTTGCCTAGGCTGGTGTTGAACTCCTGGGCCCAAGCAGTCCTCCCACATTGGCCTCCTAAAGTTTTGGGGTTACAGGCATGAGCCACTGCACCTGCCCCACTCAGATTTTGATGAAGATCTGGGGTAGCAATCTGTATTTTGTTATTTTTGTTTTTTTTTTTTTTTTTAGATAGAGTCATCTTCTGTTGCTCAGGCTGGAGGGCAGTGGCGTGATCTCTGTTCACTGCAGCCTCCGCTTCTCAGGTTCAAGCGATTATTCTGCTTCAACCTCCAGAGTAGCTAGGATTACAGGCACGTGCCACCGTGCCCGGCTAATTTTTGTATTCTTAGAAGAGATGGGGTTTCATCATGTTGGCCAGGCTGGTCTTGAACTTTTGACTTCGTGATCCACCCGTCTCGGCCTCCCAAAGTGCTGGGATTACAGGCATGAGCCACTGCACCCAGCCAGGAATCTTTATTTTGAAAAAAATTCCCAGGTAACTTTACTGTGTTTCCTCATTGCAGATCTTTGTCGTTGCCTAAGAACACTGTAGTCTCTCTTGTCCAGTAAGAAGGGCTTGCCTTATGGACTTCTCTTGTGGTCTCATTCCTAGAATCATGGGCTTTGGTGTCAGAAAGACTTGGATCAGTTTCTGGCTTTTCTGAAATCTTGAGGCTAAGTCCTAATTTCCTTATTCCAGAATAGGAATAATCATGCCTACTACATGTGCTTGTAGAGAGGGCTGAGATGGTACATATAAGATGCGTAGCATAGTTGACACTCGGTTAATGGAAGCCACTTTTACTACTAATGGCTTCTCTTCCCAGAGTTTCTCTTGTCAAAAGAAGGCCTTGGTCTGTCACCCAGGCTGGGGTGCAGTGGCATGAGTTCGGCTCACTGCAACCTCCACCTCCTGGGTTCAAACAATTCTCGTCTCAGCCTCCGGAATAGCTGGGACTACAGACACCCGCCACCATACCCAGCTAATTTTTGTATTTTTAATAGAGACGAGGTTTTATCATACTGGTCAGGGTAGTCTCAAACTGTTAATCTCAGGTGATCCACTCACCTCAGCCTCGCAAAGTTCTGGGATTACAGTGTGAGCCACCGTGCCTGCCAGAAGGGCTTGTCCTAATAAGCTTGTTTGTTCTTCAGGCTGAGTTGTGTGTAGGAAGCTGCTTTTTATTATATGATTTCCTCAAAGTCATTTCTGGTCATCGGGGAAAACTGACAATACTATGTTTCTTTTTTGTTTGTTTGTTTGTTTTTGAGATGGAGTTTCGCTCTTGTTGCCCAGGCTGGAGTACAACAGTGCCACCTCTGCTCACCACAACATCTGCCTCGTGGGTTCAGCTGATTCTCCTGCCTCAGCCTCCTGCAATACTGTGCTTCTAATCAGGGTAGATTTGGTTGGCCATACCCCTAGAAGAGATTTGGAATCCTGACTCACTAAGGGGTAGGTTTGCTGAATAAGCACATTGTCTAGGTCTAATTATATTTTGTACTTGTTAAGTTGTATAAGTGAGCTGGAAAAAGTGCAGCCTTCAGGAAACCTGTTTGCATCTGACACTGAGCTGCAGTTGCACTTCACCTCAGACGTCTGCTTGGCATCTAGAACAGAATGCCCCTATAGATCCTACTGTCTGTGAAATCTGAAGTAGGTGCTGGAGTTCTCTATCAATCACAAGTTCATGGTGAAATGAGTGAAACCTTGGTTTGGCCTTCTGTTTTACTTGGGAAGTGTGTGTGTGTAATATGGGCAACTTAGAGCCTCTTCACAGCTTCCCAGCTGTATGATGTGAATGGGCTATAGGTGTGCACAAAGTATCGACCCTTAAGCTTCAGGATAGTTGAGAACAGCTGTCTCCACTGACTCCAGGGTGTTATACAATAGTATCATTCTGTCATTCTCTGTATATATCTTGGCATGGGGAAAAATTTTTGAGAGAAGTACAGCCCTGGAAGAAGGGAAGCAGTTCTGTTTGTTGAGAGCTAGAGAGAAACTTATTTATTTGAACTCCCTTTCTTTCCAGGAATCTTAGTGAATATTAAGCTGGTTTGTGTTGGCTAGGTCATCATTGAGCTAATTCTTGGTACAGCCCTCTGTTGCCATGGTGCCTATTGTGATGCTAAGGTAGAAAATGTGATGTTTTCATTTGCTGGGAGAAAGTTTTCTTTCCAAGTTGCCAGCCTTGAAATGGCCTCTCAGGGCATCCTAAGAGTCATGGATCAAGGGACTCTTGGTGTGGAACCATACGAGTTGTAAGTTCCTTGAGAGTAGAGACTATGGCTGCCTTCTTTTTGTTTGTCACAACCCCTGGCAGAGTTCCTGACCCACAGCAGGAATTCAGCAAGTATTTCTGAGTTGAGCGTTGGGATTTTGGAAGGAGAACCCCAGGTGCATTGCCAGGATCTGTATCTCACTCTGTTGCCCAGGCTGGAGTGCAGTGGCATAATCATAGCTCACTGCAACCTTGCTTTCCCTTGCTCATGTGATTCTCCCACCTCAGCCTCCTGAGTAGCTGAGACTACGGGCACACAGCACCACACTCAGCTAATTTTAAAAAATTTTTTTGTAGAGAGGATGAGACAGGCCGTTTGAAACCAGCCTGGGCAACATGGTGAAACCCTGTCTCTACTGAAAATACAGAAATTAACCAGGTATCCTAGGTACTTGGGAGGCTAAGGCACAAGAATCACTTGAACTCAGGAGGCAGAGGCTTCAGTGAGCCAAGATTGCGCCACTGCACTCCAGCCTGGGTGACAGAGTAAGGCTCTGTCTCAAAAAAAAAAAACTTTTTTTTTTTTTTAGAGACAAGGTCTTGTTATGTTGCCCAGTGTGGTATCAAACTCTTGGCCTCAAGTGATCCTCATGCCCCAGCCCCCAAAGTGTTGGGATTATAGGCGTGAGGCACTGTGTCTAGCCTTATTTCTGGAATTATTGAGAAATTACTACCTACTTCATTTTGGCAGACAGTTTTTCAAAACATAGCAGTAGAATATAGAGATCTTTGCAGGTGACAGGTTATAAAGCTTTGCTTTGGAGAAAAAAGCATCATGTTGGCCAGACTGGTCTTGAACTCTTGACCTCGTAATCTGCCTGCCTCAGCCTCCCAAAATGCTGCAATTACAGGCATGAGCCACTCCAGTACATCACTGAGTTGTATTGGAGAGGCCAGGGTGCCTATGAGTCCTTGCCTGGGAGACATTCACAGACCCTGCCGCTCTGGCCAGGAAATTGTTTCAGGATCCATCCTTGCTCCCTGCCCCTGGGCTCCTGGCTTTCTCCACAAATGGGGCTAGGTTTGGCAGCTTGTGAACAAGCTTTGGAGTTCAGATAAGAACTGTAAAATTCGGTTGGGCGTGGTGGCTCATGCCTGTAATCCAAGCACTTTGGAGGCCAAGGAGGGTGGATCACCTGAGGTTGGGAGTTCAAGACCAGCCTGACCAACATGGTGAATCCCCGTCTTAAAACAAACAAAAAAAAAAGAACTGTAAAATTCAGGCCTGGTGCAGTGGCTCACGCCTGTAATTCCAGCACTTTGGGAGGCCAAGGTGGGCGGATGATGAGGTCAAGAGATTGAGACCATCCTGGCCAACATGTTGAAACCCCATCTCTACTTAAAGTACAAAAGCTGGGCGTGGTTCGTGCACCTGTAGTCCCAGCTACTCTCGAGGCTGAGGCAGGAAAATCACTTGAACCCAGGAGGCAGAGATTGCACTCCAGCCTGGCGACAGAGTGAGACTCTGTCTCAAAAAAAAGAAAAAAATAAAGAATCTGTAAAAACTCAAATAGACTTCCTTCATTGTTGAGGACATTTACAGGGTGTCCAAAGAGTGTGGCTGTGGTTTACGCTGATCTGGCCTCTTCAACATTTCTAAGGTTCTAGAATTGTTGCTTGCAGCAAATAGAAATCCAAGAGCCAGATCACATTTCTTTTTTGTTTTTTTTTTTTGTTTGTTTGTTTTTTTGAGATAGAGCCTCGCTCTGTCGCCCAGCCTGGAGTACAGTGGTGTGGTCTTGGCTCACTGCAATGTCTGCCTCCCAGGTTGAAGTGATTCTCCTGCCTCAGCCGCTCATATAGTTGGGATTACAGGTGTCCAACATACTTGGCTACCTTTTTTGTATTTTTAGTAGAGACGGGGTTTTACCATGTTTGCCAGGCTGGTTTTGAACTCCTGACCTCAAGTGATCCACCCTCCTTGGCCTCTCAAAGTGCTAGGATTACAGGCATGAGCCACTGCACCTGGCCTGTTTTTCTTTACTTTTCTTTTTCTTTTTTTTCTTTTTTCTTTTTTTTTTTTTTTGAGATGGAGTCTTGCTCTGTGTCTCAGGCTGGAGTGCCAGTTGCATGATCTCACCTCACTGCAACCTCCGCCTGCCAGGGTCAAACGATTCTCCAGCCTCAGCTTCCGAGTAGCTGGGATTACGGGTACCCACCACCATGCCTGGTTAATTATTTTGTATTTTTAGTAGAGTCAAGGTTTTACCATGTTGGCCAGACTTGTCTCGAACTCCTGACCTCAGGTGATCTGCCTGCCTTGGCCTTCCAAAGTGCTGGGTTACAGGCATTAGTCACTGTGCCTGGTCAGGCCACATTTCATTTTCTCTGAGTTTAGTACTTTGATAAGTACCAAGGGAGTTCTGGAAACCTGAGAATGGCCCCTTACCTCAAAGGGCTGATGGCTGTAGTGTTCAAAGGCAGTCTGGAGTAGAGCAGTGAGCAGTGTGATGCAGATTGTAGTTGGAATGGAGGTTTCTAAAGCAGACCCTTCAGGAAAGATCCTCAGGAAAGGTTTGTGAGTTCACCAACTTAGTGGCATGGGGAAGGATTTAGGCCTTGATTGGATGAGGCCCAACACTGCTGGAGTTTTTCCTGAGTGATGGAAGGAGCTCCCGATGGTGATTTGCGTCCAAGAAGCTTAGTCACCATTGTCTGAGTGGCTTTGGTTGAGTCTCTTTACCTCTCTTGGCCTGTCATTTCTGTAGAGTGTCGGTGAGGATGGTAGTGCTGAATGCTCACACCCATTGCCACACTCAGTCCAATGTGCATGCCTTCCTTGAAGAGTGCTTTGGGTCAGGCTGGGAGTTAAGGTGTGGAGGCAGACTCTAGAGAGTTGGGTACTTGCTGCAAGATGGCATAGTGTGACCCTCCTGGGAGGTCTCTTCCTGAAGCCTCCTTACTCATCCTTGCCCATCCCTATACCCACCATGGTCACTGGGCTAGTGGCATGCACAGGAGATGCTGGGAACTGGAAGTCTCTGCTCTTCTTCCTAGGAGCTTTACCAGCCACCTCCCATGTCTCCATATCTGCATTTTCACCTGACCAGTGTGGAGAGGGAGTTTAACATATGTGATCGGAGTATAGAGCAGCTATGATTACCTGGGGGCTGTTGCCCATGGTCCCCATCCCTAAGCTAGCACCCTCTCTTCTTCACTTTCTTTTTTTTCCTTCCCTCTCTTGGCCAATTTAGTTTAATATCATCTCAATCTGTAGTTGGGATGGTGGAGTACCTGCATCAGACCGTCTTTGAAGAGTTTCTGATTGGCATCAATGGGAGAGAAACTGTGTCCCAGGAAGAGAGAAGGAAGGTTAGAGGGAAAATCCTTGACTCTCTTATTGCCAACCAACCTAGTTTTGTTTTGATTGATTGATTGGTTTTTCTGTATTTTAAAAAATTTATTTATTTTTGGCCAGGCGCGGTGGCTCACGCCTGTATTCCCAGCACTTTGGGAGGCCGAGGTGGGCAGATCACGAGGTCAGGAGACTGAGACTATCCTGGCCAATATGGTGAAACCCCGTCTCTACTAAAAAATACAAAAATTAGCTGGGCGTGGTGGCGTGTGCCTGTAGTCCCAGCTACTTGGGAGGCTGAGGCAGGAACATTGCTTGAACTCAGGAGGCGGAGGTTGCAGTGAGCCAAGCTCGCACCACTGCACTCTAGCTTGGCACCTGGCAACAGAGCAAAACTCTGTCTCAAAAAAAAAAAAAAAATTATTTATTTATTAAAAAAATTTTTTTCTTTTTCAAAGATGGGGTTTCACCATGATGACCAGGCTGGTCTTGAACGCCTAACCTCAGGTGATCCACCCACCTCGGCCTCCCAAAGTGCTAGGATTGCAGGCGTGAGCCACCGCCCCCAGCAAAAAATTTAGTTATTTTTGAGACGGAGTCTCACTCTGTCACCCAGGCTGGAGTGTAATGGTGTGGTCTCCACCTCTTGGGTTCAAGCAATTCTCCTGCGTCAGCCTCCTGAGTAGCTGGGACTACATGTGCATGTCACCACACCTGGCTAAATTTTGTGTTTTTAGTAGAGACGGGATTTCACTATGTTGGCCAGGCTGGTCTTGAATTCCTGACCTTATGATCTGCCCGCCTTGGCCTCTCAAAGTGCTGGGATTACAGGCATGAGTCACTGTGCCCAGCCTATTTATTTATTTTTTAAGAGACGGA